ATGATGCAATTAACCACACACCTCAGAAACAGGTAAGTAGCGAAAATATAGTTAAGTTGTTGCGGTCTCGAGCCAAAAAAAGGATGCAGACCGACACCACCAGAGTAATGGTTATTCTATGGGAAGAAAGATACCATATAGTGAGAAACGCATGTAAACAATTGAGTAACAATGATCTTGAGCAATGTTCAATTTATATCGCACAGTTTCGCAAGTTTATAGCAACCTCTTGAACCCACCTTAAAATCTTTTGCGACTAAGCGGTAGACAATTTTAAGAGGCAAATAAGAGGCCATATACAGGGAAAATTATGATAATAGAAGGAGAGGCAGACTCCGAAGCATTCATGAATTTAACAGTAAGAAGAACTAGGTTCTTCAATCAAGGTAGGATTAAATATACTTAGAGATAATAATTTAATTTCAAGTTCATTATAAGCCTATGGCCAAGGTGGTTATACCACAGTAGGGGCAAATGCCCAAGTTTAGGTCGGTGTCTGCCTCCTAAATAAAGTAAGAGCGAACATGCATTTTAACGTAAATAAACATAATGAAAACTGAGAGTGATCACTCAAAACAAAAATAGAATTAAGAAGGTATGGCGTTAATTACAGACTGCCGTAGCGCGTCCAAGAAGATAGGTGCTTTCACCTTCAAATTACAATGCCAACAACTCTAGTTACAAATCCATACCCAACAATAGGCATGAAGAAAAAGAATCAAAGATGTTACAATTTAAGAACGTCGGAAATTTCCAACATAATACATCTCAAGAAGCATGTTCCCCATTTGAATATGGCAGCGTGTATCGTTGCAAATGAACTTATTGCAGCATTTTATTGTTAAACATCGGGCAATGTACTATATAAGTATTGAAGTTTATGATAATGTTGCTGCTAAAATTGGTTATTTTATTTTCTCGTACAGGATAACATAATTTTAGATCTCGAGAGATAGATAGGTGTTCTCGCAAGCCTCTCCGTGCGCCGTTTATATATACTGAACGCAGCCGTGCACCACCAATTTTGTGCACCTATCAGCCCTGAATGTAACGCCTAGCATCTTTCCTTAAGGCCACCAATCAGCTGGGGATTGAAAGCCTGCCGTCAATAACTAGCCCAGCCTGTCGTCACGACTACATTTTATTTTAAAAATTAAGAGCTGTACATATGCTGTATATGTATATTAAGAGCTGTATATGGGAGTCTATAGCCTAGGGTGTAATGACTGTCAACCAAAATACATTTCATCGCCACTTCATTATTCCACCAGCGCAAGAACTACAACACAATTGCTTATTAAATTTGATTCAAAAGATATTTTTTATTTTGTGTGGCTTGGAGCCGAGAACGAGATGGACCAGAATTGTTGGAAGCTACTGTACTGGAGGCAAGGATCGTGTCAGTCTATACGGCGCTGACTGCAGTGTTGGTTTCCGACAGGCAACCCAACATTTAGATGCTATTTCATGGAGACTCTACGTAATCGGTGCTGTCTGGACAATAAATATGAACTTTTATTCGGTAAAATTTTTATTTAGATGTTGGAAAAGATGTTATACTCATTTTTAAACTCATTTTAAGTAATAGTTCAACGCTAGATGTTGATTGAAACGCGTTCTCAAGTTAATTACTATAGTTTAAAATATTGTCTACTTGGCAATTAAAATATTATCTAAACAGAACCAAATGAACTCATAAGAGGACAGCTAAATGGTTGAAACGTTAAAAATAAATCTGAGAGTAAATAAGTGAGCTTGACATTTTAGAATTTGCAAGCAAGTTTTCACCCACCAATTGTTTTTGCTTGAAAGCCATATAAGGAAATTGATTTGATTACATTCTAGTGAACATTAGTTCGTATGCATCTCAAGGCACAAGACATATTCAGTTTTTGATAAATTTTTTTATATTCACGATTATGATATTTTGCGGAAAATCTTCAAGAGCTTTCTTTCTGTTCTCTTAAAAAGTAAACAGTTTACGCCCACCTGACATGGAAAATGACGACGATAAAATGTTGTAGTCTACCCTCAGAGGGAAAGCAACGTTTTCTTCCAATAAAAGACGCGTAAAGAAATTATTTATTGGGGGACAATGAAGTTTATTTAAAGCTGGATATTTCGGAGCTAGGAAAATATCAAACGATTTCATTCAATCAGCACAATAATTTAATTGTGAATATTAGATAAATACCTTAACTTAAAAAGTGTCACTGTCACGTGACAATGAAATCTCTTAGAGCAAGCGATTGACAATTTTTATACGCTCTCTTAATTAACGACACAACACGGACCCAATTTGACACTTGAGCAGAAGCTGTCACTTTACGTATACTCGAACGTAACGATAACACGCAGTAACTTCTTGCAACTATGAACGGTTTCCATGAAATACGAGTAAATAACCATAAGAATAGTAGAGAAAATAAATGTAGGTTCAGACGAGAAAAGGCCCTAGTTTACTATTTAACGACCAATTAACCCCACAAATGGATGTGACGAGACGGTTATTCCTGTTAAGGTACCTCCGCTCTAGGAGAGTGTGCCGAGTTACATGCAATTCAGTTCGCCAACGCAGGAGATGTGCTCAATTAACGGCAAATATCTCGGCAAATCCTTCAGGATCTAGGGCGGGGTGGCCCAGTGGTTACAGTCTGAGTATCAGGATTGGGGCAGAGATTGAGAAAGGCGCGGGTTCGATCCCAGCTCTGTGCGCCAGTTTCTGGTCAGAACCGGCGAGGAGGCCGGGCGGTTAAGCGCGGCAGAATTGTAGCAGTGAGTTGCGAGTTCGAGACCGCAACAAGCTGTGAATGTTCTGCGATGTTAAGAATCGGCGACAGGCCTACAGCCTAATAATCGCTGACACCGCTATTATGATCTGCTCATGGCATGGGCGTTGACCCGAACACGCCTACCAGGAACCTAATTCATTATTTGGGATTCGTTTAGACGTAGCAGCATAAACGGTAAAAATCTATTTCCTGGATTGCTTTTTTTCATTAATTGACATTGTAGCTTCATAAAGCTTCAAAATTACATGGTGGCAATCTAAGATTTTGCAAACCTGGGCAACAGGCTGCTTTACCGTGTTGCATTCTGAATCAAGTTTCAGGGAAGCAAAGAAAATATCATTTTCATTTTCAAATTCATATAAAATTGCAATATCTGAGTACTATTTCTGATTTGAATAATATTTATCGGATAATTTCATGAGTGTCTGATGCAAAATGTCACAAGATATGAAAGGCATATAGTTTTGAGCTCTAAAATTTTATTGGGTGATAGTTATATTATTCCACAGGACAATGTTAGACCAAATTTCGGAACCAAGTCTTAAAGTTCATATACTGATTATGGCATTTCTCAAAACCTAAAATACTTTCTACAATTAATCAGATTTAAATGATTGTGCGCATACTTATTTAGTTGCTCTTTCATAAAATTTTATTTTTTCTTCTTTTTATATTTCAGTATATAAGGACAGAATTTGAATAGATTTGTTTCTAAAAACTCGTTTGCACTTTTTTTATGAAACCTGTATCCATTAACGAATGTTGCAACTTACACTGACATAAAATAGCAGAAAACAATATTTAAAAAATATTGAGAGCAAGCCATGATATATAGTTCTGATCATATTTATTACTTTAATATCTCGAAAATTGTTCGAGGTTGAAGTCTGAGAAGAGAAGAAAGGACGTGTAATTTGAAATTGTAGGCTATGAACTTTCGTTGATTTAACTTCCATGCTGAATGCTCCGGAATGTCCGGCTTGAAATATATATCACAGTCCCCCTAAAATAAATTGTTCACGCATCCCTTGCTGGAAGAAAACGAAGTTCTTTCAGAGGGCAGACTGCAAATTTATATCGAGGTTATAATCTATAACAAGAAGACGCAAACGGTTAGTTCATTTTCTAACAAAACAGAAAGAGCGCTCAAGAATATTTGCCGTTGAATATCATAATTGTGATTATAAAAAGGGTGATTGAATATTGAATATCCGGGAATTTAAAAGTAAAGCAAATATCACGAAAATTCACTATATCTTAATAAGAGAAAACGTTTCGGAGTCCAGCTCCATCGTCAGTTCATAACACAAAGTTCAGTTCAGAAGTTGTCCTAGAAACACATACAATAAATTATTAGTGTAAGAATAGGAGTGTTGTGACAAGTGTGACAATCCCAAGTGTGACTATTCAGGTATAAGGATACCCTCCCTGTTCTTATACGATCGTCACTAGCGATTTTTTACCTGACAGTGGATTATACTTTACTAAGTGATTGTATTTTTTTCTAGGACAACTTCTGGGGCCATACTTTCAAAACTCGCTAAGTGAACGTAAGTACTTACGCTCTATTTTCTTGTCTATGATTGGTGGGTTTTGCTTGAAAGTGCGTCAATGATTGGCTGATGAACTTACGATCTCTTAACTTTTTTTGAAAGTATAGGTCCTGAACTGAACTATGTGTTATGTTTAACGTTTAACGTTTAACGGTTAACGGTTAACGGTTAACAGTTAACGGTTAACGGTTAACGGTTAACGGTTGACGGTTGACGGTTAACGGTTAACGGTTAACGGTAAACAGTAAACGTTAAACGGTTAACAATAAACGGTTAACGGTTAACGGTTAACAGTAAACGGTTAACGGTTAACGGTTAAAGGTTTACGGTTAACGGTTAATGGAACAGTAAACGTTAAACGGTAAACGGTTAACGGTTAACGGTTAACGGTTAACGGTTAACGCTTAACGGTTAACGGTTAACGCTTAACGGTTAACGGATAACGGTTAACGGTTAACGGTTAACGTTTAATGGTTAACGGTTAACGGTTAACGGTTAACGATTAACGGTTAACGGTTAACGGTTAACGGTTAACGGTTAATGGTTAACTGTTAACGGTTAATGGTTAACGGTTAACGGTTAACGGTTAACGATTAACGGTTAACGGTTAACGGTTAACGGTTAACGGTTAACGGATAACGTTACTGACAAAGCTTCAGCTGATATCGAAGTATAGACGCGCGGCAGCAAGCATCGCTGCGGCCATGAAGCTCGCAACGATGCATTTTCTTGCCCCTGCAGAAAATTACGAATATCTGTGAGCGATGTCTAACATAACTTATGCAGCACCTTAACTCTCGGACATTTAATTTCTTGTCAAGATTTGCATTTTTAACTATCTATTGAAACATTCAACTTCAGTGGAAAATAAATTTTTTATATAATCGAAATTCTTATTCATATATTCTTGTACTACTTCAAATAAATTTTATTCCCAGCAACGAGTTGAGTGGAAAGATTAGGCCTCAGAAGCATCTTAGTACAAAGACTGTGAGTATATGTGAGAACCGCCGCCTGAGCTGCAGCTTGGAGCGGTCAGATAAGTGCGCACGAACAACGACACCTCATTCATATAACAGTGCATAGTAACATAAACGCAATTAAATAATAAACGCGATTACATATTAAAGGAAATTAAATATAAAAAGCAACTAAATGTTTAACGCAATTAAATATTTAACGCAACTAAATATTAAACGCAATAAATATTGTTCACTGAGTAAGCGAGTGAAGGAGGGCGTTGGAATTTCAATAACTGCGTCCTCATAGCTGTTAACTAGGTTCTCCTCATTAGGTGTGAACAATATTAATAAATCATGAGTAATTCTACTTACTACTCTGGTCGAAGAGAATGGAATTATTCTAATATAATTTTTTCTGTCATCTGAACCGTGTTTCTCATGGCATCAAAAAATCAGGAGTTCAAATATAGACAAGAATAAGTTAATATAATGGATATCTTTATATATTAATTCTTTGGAAAATAATGAGATATATAATAAGTTCCTATAAAAGAGGCGGTTTTCGCCAGTCAAAAGTTAAACAAAACAGTACAAATCTGAGGCGGGGAAAAAAGAAGCAAAACAAGAGTACTGCATGAGAGGCCTTGGCCTGTTCGCGTAAGACAACGGTCATTTCCCTTGGGAAAACTGTTAGAGAAATAAGGAAGGATACGGAAAGATTGGTAAGGGGGCCAAGACTGTCTGAGACAACTGATGTCCTTCTAGCATTACGTCCTCATGCCAATTGTAAATGTCCGAGCCTTCACAAGATCAATAGTTCACCTCGATCCCCGGAGATGGAGAAGAAGTTATCCCTCATCCTGACCCTGAGGGTTTTGACGACCCTGTCTTGCAAGGGCCCGAGACAGACGCGACACTCGACCTGTACGCTGCCGCCGGCCGCTGCCGTTAACGGTTAACGGTTAACGGTTAACGGTTACCGGTTAACGGTTAACGGTTAACGGTTAACGGTTAACGGTTAACGGTTAACGGTTAACGGTTAACGGTTAACGGTTAACGGTTAGCGATTAACGGTTAACGGTTAACGGTTAACGGTTAACGGTTAACGGTTAACGGTTAACGGATAACGGTTAACGGTTAACGGCTGTCTCTTATACACATCTAGATGTGTATAAGAGACAGGGTTAACGGTTAACGGTTAACGGTTAACGGTTAACGGTTAACGGTTAACGGTTTAACGGCTAACTGGTAACGGTTAACGGTTAACGGTTAACAGTTAACGGTTAACGGTTAACAGTTAACGGTTAACGGCTAACGGTTAACGGTTAACGGTTAACGGTTATAACGGTTAACGGTTAACGGTAAACGGTTAACGGTTAACGGTTAACGGTTAACGGCTGTCTCTTATACACATCTAGATGTGTATAAGAGACAGGTTTACGGTTAACGGTTAACGGTTAACGGTTAACGGTTAACAGTTTACGGTTAACGGATAACGGTTAACGGTTAACGGTTAACGGTTAACGGTTAACGGTTAACGGTCTGTCTCTTATACACATCTAGATGTGTATAAGAGACAGACGTTTGACTGTTAACGGTTAACGGTTAACGGTTAACGGTTAACGGTTAACGGTTAACGGTTAACGGTTAACGGTTAACGGTTAACGGTTAACGGTTAACGGCTGTCTCTTATACACATCTAGATGTGTATAAGAGACAGGTTAACGGTTAACGGTTAACGGTTAACGGTTAACGGTTAACGGTTAACGGTTAACGCTGTCTCTTATACACATCTAGATGTGTATAAGAGACAGGGTCGGTTAACGCTGTCTCTTATACACATCTAGATGTGTATAAGAGACAGGGTTAACGGTTAACGGGTAACGGTTAACGGTTATCGGATAACCGTTAACGGGTAACGGTAAACGGTTTACGGTTAACGGTTAGCGGATAACGGTTAATAGTTAACGGTTAACGGTTAACGGTTAAAGGTTAACGGTTAACGGTTAACGATTAACGGTTAACGTTTAACGGTTAACAGTTAACGGTTAACGGTTAACGGTTAACAGTTAACGTTTAACGGTTAACGGTTAACAGTTAACGGTTAACAGTTAACGTTTAACAGTTAACGTTTAACGGTTAACGGTTAACGGTAAAAGGTTAACGGTTAACGGTTAACGGCTGTCTCTTATACACATCTAGATGTGTATAAGAGACAGGTTAACGGTTAACGGTTAACGGTTAACGGTTAACGGTTAACGGTTAACGGTTAACGGTTAACGGTAAACGGTTAACGGTTAACGGTTAACGGTTAACGGTTAAACGGTTAACGGTTAACGGTTAACGGCTGTCTCTTATACACATCTAGATGTGTATAAGAGACAGCGGTTAACGGTTAACGGTTTACGGTTAACGGTTAACGGTTAACGGTTAACGGTTAACGGTTAACGGATAACGTCTGTCTCTTATACACATCTAGATGTGTATAAGAGACAGGTTAACGGTTAACGGTTAACGGTTAACGGTTAACGGTTAACGGTTAACGGTTTACGGTTGACGTTTAATGGTTAACCTGTCTCTTATACACATCTAGATGTGTATAAGAGACAGCCGTTAACCGTTAACCGTTTACCGTTTACCGTTAACCGTTAACCGTTAACCCTGTCTCTTATACACATCTAGATGTGTATAAGAGACAGACCGTTAACCGTTAACCGTTAACCGTAAACCGTTAACCGTTGACCGTTAACCGTAAACCGTTAATCCTGTCTCTTATACACATCTAGATGTGTATAAGAGACAGGTTAACCGTTGACCGTTAACCGTTTACCGTTAACCGTTAATCGTTAACCGTTAACCCTTAACCGTTAACCGATAATCGATAACCGATAACCGTTAACCGTTAACCTTCAACCGTTAACCGTTAACCGTTAACCGTTACCCGTAAACCGTTAACCGTTAACCGATAACCGTTAACCGTAAACCGTTAACCGTTAACCGTTAACCGTAAACCGTTAACCGTTAACCTGTCTCTTATACCACATCTAGATGTGTATAAGAGACAGGGATAACGGTTAACGGTTAACGGTTACCGGTTAATGGTTAACGGTTAACGGTTAATGGTTATCGATTAATGGTTAACGGTTAACGGTTAACGGTTAACGGTTAACAGATAACGTTAACGGTTGTGGGTTAACGGTTAACTTTAACGGTTAAGGGTTAACGGTTAACGATAACGGTTAATGGTTAATGGATAACGGTTAACCGTTAACGGTTAATGGTTAATGGATAACGGTTAACGGTTAACGGTCTGTCTCTTATACACATCTAGATGTGTATAAGAGACAGGAGTTGAGTCGAGTCGAGTTGAGTTGAGTTGAGTTAAGTTGAGTAGAGTCGAGTCGAGTTGAGTTGAGTCGAGTTGAGTTGAGTTGAGTCGAGTCGAGTTGAGTTGAGTTGAGTCGAGTTGAGTTGAGTTGAGTCGAGTCGAGTTGAGTTGAGTTGAGTCTCGAGTTGAGTTGAGTTGAGTTGAGTTGAGTTGATTTGAGTTGAGTCGAGTTGAGTTGAGTTGAGTTGAGTTGAGTTAAGTTGAATTGAATCGAGTTGAGTTGAGTTGAGTTGAGTTAAGTTGAGTAGAGTCGAGTCGAGTTGCTGTCTCTTATACACATCTAGATGTGTATAAGAGACAGCGGTTAACGGTTAACGGTTAACGGTTAACGGTTAACGGTTAACGGTTACCGGTTAACGGTTAACGGTCTGTCTCTTATACACATCTAGATGTGTATAAGAGACAGGTTAACGGTTAACAGTTAATGGTTAATGATTAACGGTTAACGGTTAAAGGTTAACGGTTAACGGTTAACGGTTAGCGGTTACCAGTTAACGGTTAACGGTTAACGGTTAACGGTTAACGGTTAACGGTTAACGGTTAACGGTTAATGGTTATACACATCTAGATGTGTATAAGAGACAGGTTAACGGCTAACGGTTAACGGTTAACGGTTAACGGTTAACGGTTAACAGTTAACGGTTAACGGTTAACGGTTAACGGTCTGTCTCTTATACACATCTAGATGTGTATAAGAGACAGGTTAACGGTTTACGGTTAACGGTTAACGGTTAACGGTTAACGGTTAACGGTTAACGGTTAACGGTTAACGGTTAACAGCTGTCTCTTATACACATCTAGATGTGTATAAGAGACAGCGGTTAACGGTTATCGGTAAACGGTTAACGGTTATCGGTAAACGGTTAACGGTTAACGGTTGACGGGCAACGGTTAACTGTTAACGGTTAATGGTTAACGGTTAACGGTTATCGGTTAACGGTTAACGGTCTGTCTCTTATACACATCTAGATGTGTATAAGAGACAGGGTTAACGGTTAACGGTTAACGATTAATGGTTAACGGTTTAAGGTTAACGGTTAACGGTTTACGGGTAACGGTTAACGGTTTACGGTCTGTCTCTTATACACATCTAGATGTGTATAAGAGACAGGGTTAACGGTTAACGGTTAACGGTTAACGGTTAACGGTTAACGGTTAAAGGTTAGCGGTCAACGGTTAACGGTTAACGGTTAACGGTTAGCGGTTAGCGGTTAGCGGTTAACGGATATCGTTAACGGTTAACGGTTAACGGTTAAGGGTTAACGGTTAACGGCTGTCTCTTATACACATCTAGATGTGTATAAGAGACAGGTTAACGGTTAACGGTTAACGGTTAACGATTAACGGTTAACGGTTAACGGTTAACGGTTAACGGTTAACGATTAACGCTGTCTCTTATACACATCTAGATGTGTATAAGAGACAGGTTAACGGTTAACGGTTAACGGTTTACGGTTAACGGTTAACGGTTAACGGTTAACGGTTAACAGTTAACGGTTAACGGTCTGTCTCTTATACACATCTAGATGTGTATAAGAGACAGGGTTAACGGTTAACGGTTAACGGTTAACGGTTAACGATTAACGGTTAACGATTAACGATTAACGGTTAACGGTTAACCGCTGTCTCTTATACACATCTAGATGTGTATAAGAGACAGGGTTAACGGTTAACGGTTAACGGTTAACGGGTAACGGATAACGGATAACGGTTATTGGTTAACGGTTAACGGTTAACGGTTAACGGTTAACGATTAACGGTTAACGGTTAACGGTTAACGGTTAACGGTTAACGGTTAACGGTTAACGGTCTGTCTCTTATACACATCTAGATGTGTATAAGAGACAGCGGTTAACCGTTAACGGTTAACCGTTAACCGTTAACCGTTAACGGTTAACGGTTAACGGTTAACGGTCTGTCTCTTATACACATCTAGATGTGTATAAGAGACAGGGTTAACGGTTAACGGTTAACGGTTAACGGTTAACGGTTAACGGTTAACGGTTAACGATTGACGGTTAACGGTTAACGGTTGTTAACGGTTAACGGTTTACGGTTAACGGTTAACGGTTAACGGTTAACGGTTAACGGTTAAAGGTTAACGGTTAACGGTTAACGGATGACTGTTAACGGTAAACGGTTAACGGTTAAAGGTTAACGGGTAACGTTTAACGGTTAACGGTTAACGGTTAACGGTTAACGGTTAACGGTTAACGGTTAACGGTTAACAGTTAACGGTTAACGGTTAACGGTTAACGGTTAACGGTTAACGGTTAACGGTTAACGGTTAACGGTTAACGGTTAACGGTTAACGGTTAACGGTTAACGGTTAACGGTTAACGGTTAACGGTTAACGGTTAACGGTTAACGGTTAACGGTTAACGGTTAACGGTTAACGGTTAACGGTTAACGGTTGACGGTTAACGGTTAACGGTTAACGGTTAAGCCACGGCGTCTAAACAGTTTACTTACTGCAGACTGCCTGTTCCGTGTGCTCTTTTTGAGCTCGTGGCGCCTAATAATCTCGAGTACGTCAGTTGCCAAGTGCCAGTATCGAAGTTCAAATGTTATAGCAAAACCAGAAAGAATTACATACGAAGTAGTAAGAGAAACCTCGGCACTCTTATAACATAATTATTTGTTTGGGTGATGAGGCGAGTACTACAGAATAGGGCGCAGAGTTTCAAAGCAGGTCAACTGAAACTCGAACCTAGGGCCGAGTATTTCTCAACCACCAAAACTTAACCTATACCTTCACGCACAAAATTAACTAGTGTCGTTCGCCAATTCATTTTCATAACAAGCGTCACTATGTCACTTTGTACGAACCTGAACTGATCAAACAAAACGATTAACGGTTAACGGTTAACGGGTAACGGTTAACGGTTAACGGGTAACGGCTAACGGTTAACGGTTAACGGTTAACGGTTAACGGTTAACGGTTAACGGTTAACGGTTAACGGTTAACGGTTAGCGGTTAACGGTTACCGGTTAACAGTTAACGGTTAACGGTTAACGGTTAACGGTTACCGGTCCTCATACTGAGAAATGACAGAAATTAATCATATAGGAATGACTCATATTACTCATATGAGGGATATACACAAATGTGAAGAATGAAAAATATTTGCCTTTTCTCCATAAGGTAGCGTAATTCACAGGACAGTTGCATCAAACGGTAAACGGTTAACGGTTAACGGTTAACGGTTAACGGTTAACGGTTAACGGTTATTGGTTAACGGTAAACGGTTAACTGTTAACGGTTATCGGTTAACGGTTCACGGTTAACGGTTAACGGTTAACGGTTAACGGTTAATGGTTAACGGTTAACGGTTTCCGGTTAACGGTTAACGGTTAACGTTTAACGGTTAACGGTTAACGGTTATAGTGGGGAAGTATGTAGCCGCGCCTCATGCGTCTTTAATTTTTGTACCGCGATTTTCCTTATAATTTTTTTGCGATCATTCAACAGTTATTCCTCATATTTGTTCTGTTAAATTTGTATCCATTTTTGATTAATGTTTTTTTTTGCCTATCGATTTTACTAGTATTTTCATTTATAGAAAAAGTCTGTTCACCCTGATCATCCGAAGCGTGTCACTTTCATTCTGTCAGTCGTGAAGCACTTTGCGCTTCACTGTTAGGGAATTTTTGTGAAAAGTGGTTAGATTGTGACATGTAAATTTGTGCGGGATTTTTGTGAATACTTATACTGTGAGATCTAAATTTGTGCTCTAATATTTGTGAATTGTTATTATTTTGTTAGGAATATTTCAAGTTAAATATTATAGCTATATCCTAAGTTTATTTTTTATTTTTGTTACTGAATTATATTTGTTCACCACCACGAACTATATATTCAGTACGAGCCATTCGCTGGGTTTATTTTGTGGCTTTTTGAGTTCATTCCGAGTTTTTTTTGGGTTCAGTTTGAGTTTTCACTGTTCCCTTTACCACGTTTTACCGTTGCCACTGGTGCCTTCATTACCAATAAAGTGTCAGAAATTCTCCACGACTCCACGTTCACTTCCCTGCACGGTTAAAGTTTGATTGTCTGACTGGCGCTGAAGTAAGAGCGGCAGATATAGCCCGATAGCCGTCGCGCTTACACGGTTAACGGTTAACGGTTCACGGTTAACGGTAAACAGTAATCGTTAAACGGTTAACAGTAAACGGTTAACGGTTAACGGTTAACGGTTAGCGGTTGACGGTTAGCGGTTGACGGTTAACGGTTAACGGTAAACGGTTAACGGTTAACGGTTAACGAATAACGTTAACGGTTAACGGTTAACGAATAACGTTAACGGTTAACGGTTAACGGTTAAGGGTTAACGGTTAACGATTAACGGTTAACAGTTACGGTTAATGGTTACGGTTAACGGTTAACGGGTAATGGTTAACGGTTAACGTTAACGGTTAACGGTTGATGGTTAACGGTTGACGTTTAACGGTAAACGGTTAACGTTTAACGGTTAACGTTTAACGTTTAACGGTTAACGGTTAACGGTTAACGGTTAACAGTTAACCGCTGTTAACGGTTAACGGTTAACGGTTTACGATTAACGGTTAACGGTTAACGTTTAGCGGTTAACGGTTAACGGTTAACGGTTAACGGTTAAGGGTTAACGGTTAAGGGTTAACGGTTAACGGTTAACGTTAACGGTTAACGCATAGAGACCCCACTCCTGGCATAGAGAGACTCAGCAGAACAGTTGATGGTAAAAGAGTTCCATCAACTTCAGTTCGAGTGGTTTTTGAGGGCCGGGATTTACCTACAAAAATTAAAATTGGATACCTCTCTTACTAATCTCCGCCATGAAGTTGCCGCCGTAGCCGAGCCCCACCAGCCCCGCCATCCCCGCCACCTTCTCCTCCTGCAGCGACAGCGGTGCCTCCCCATCGCCTGGGGAGACACGCGCATGTTAAATCAATTCCTATCGTACAATAAAAATACATCACACGTAGGTACCCACTCCCCACGTCTCACATACCACACCTCCATCACACAGGGTTGCCGGACGGTCATTTTTTCCGGACAAATTCCGTGATTTAGTTTTTCTCAATTGCGTTGGCCGCCTAAAATTTATGATAGGGGTACATCCCAATTAAATTTTAAATACTGCAAAAAATTTTTCCGGACAAATTCCGTGATTTAGTTTTTCTCAATTGCGTTGGCCGGCTAAAATTTATGATAGGGGTATTTCCTAATTAAATTTTAAATACTACAAAAAGAAAATAAATGAAATTTTTATAGCGGAACCTACAAATAAACTAGTATACAGTATTACAGTATATTGGGTTATCGGCCTTTTTTGGCCCTTTTTTGTTCTCGGATTTGTCCGATTTTAGGCAACCTGAATAATGTATCACCACGTCCTGGAGAAATACATTTTGTGGTACGCATATGTACCACTTCGGAGTCAACGTATTAAAAGAATTTTACTGCATTTCCAAGCAATACAAAAGGTGTATGATATTAACATGAGCGTGGGGCCAAACCTCTTATCTCCAAGCAATACAATAAAAGATTGATATGTACAAGAGGGCCCCACCCTCATCCAGCAGGGCGGTGAAGGTGTTGCGGTGGGCCCGGTCTGGGGAAACGCGGGGCAGACCCCCCATGGACGACCCCGTCCCCGTCCTCCTCCTGCGGGGGGAGGTTGTTTTAATAAATTATTTAAAGCAATTCTGGAGGAAAAAATCCAATAAATTGTAAGTGTTACAAGACGAGGTTTATGGGGGAGAGTAAGGAAGGAGGTTAAAGGGGTACAGGGGGGAGGGGTACGGGGGGAGGTTAAGAGGGTACGGGAGGATAAGGGGGGAGGGTAAGAGGGTAAAGGGGTTAAGGAAGAGGGTACGGGGGAAGGGAAGGTAAGGAGGTAATTAGAGACAATATCAGGCAATTCAGGAAAGGGGCGCTGATGGGGACGTTTGCTAATCAGGAGGGGAGTGTCCAACATGGGGAAGCGCACCTGGGACCTATGCTCATCAGGGAGGCGGGCGCCCCTGGGGACTTCTGCTAATCAGAAAGGGGAAGGGGTGCCTAACAGAAGGGGATGCATCTGGGCACCTCTGCTAATCAGGGAGGGAGGGGGGTGCCCAACAGAAGAGGGCGCCCCTGGGGAGGGCCCCACAGAAGAGGGGCACCTGGGGAGGGCCCAACAGAAGGGGGCGCCCCTGGGGAGGGCCCCACAGAAGGGGGCGCACCTGGGCACGTCGTGGCACTCGTCAAAGACGGCGTTGGTGTCCTCGTCGTCGGTGTCGTGGGGGGCGGCGGCCCCGCTGGAGGGGGAGTCCCGCGTCGTGCCCCCGCTGTCATGAGCCGCTGACTCCCAGCGGCTCAGCGAGTCCCCGCTGCCGCCCTCTGCCACTGTGGGGGGGGGACGGTAAATAAATATTAATTATTTATTATTAATATTTGTTATTAATAATATTATTATTATTAATATTTATTACTATTAATTAATAGGTTATTAAATATTAATATTAATAGGCGTTAGAATGACCTATAATATAATATATAACTCATAATTTATAATATAATTACAATTATTTCGTAAGTAATTAATTTATAAATCATACCTATATCAATTGCAGCCAGAGGGCCCATGTCTACTGACCAGAGGGCCCACGTCTACTGACCAGAGGGCCCATGTCTACTGACCAGAGGGCCCATGTCTACTGACCAGAGGGCCCATGTCTACTGACCAGAGGGCCCATGTCTACTGACCCGAGGGCCCATGTCTACTGACCCGAGGGCCCCGCGGCGCCGCCCCCAGGGAAGCTGTCCATGGAGCTCCACTCGTACTTGCCGAGGCGCCCGCTGCACGGTGAGGGTCGGGTCAATGAGGGTCAATCAAGGAGAGGGTCGGGTCAAGGAGAGGGTCGGGTCAAGGAGAGGGTCGGGTCAAGGAGAGGGTCGGGACAAGGTAAGGGTAGAGACAGAAGACAGGTATGTATAATATTCAGGATAATATCGTTAGTTATTATTACAATATATTTCTTCGTTTTGTAGCGATCTCTACACATCAATGCGTTTACTCTACGACCATACAACTACCAGTACCGTCACCAGCACCACTACCACCACCACTCTATCTCCACCATCATTGTAGCACCTTCACTCACAACACCTTCACTCACGACTACACCACCATCACCACACCCACTAGTGTCAAGTTCTTAAGTCAAGTTCAGAACGTCTTCGCTTTGATTGGCACCCAAAGCTGGCAGCAGTACTCCAGAACGGGAAGCACGAGGGCTCTGAAGAGTGTAATCATTGGCTCCGGTTTTCTAGCTCGAAATTTACGATAGATCCACCACAACATTTTTCGTGTCTTGCACAGCTACCTCCTCGATGTGGTCATCAACCGTGACATCAATATTCCTCAGCACTCCGAGAATGCGAAAAATTTTCTTCTCCACATTTCCGTGCCGTGCGATGCCAAGTTACGGTACAGCAACCCAACCTCGGTCCTAACTTTGAATCTCACCACTTAGAACTTTGAACTCCAACATCACCAACACTCTACCACCACCCCTACACCACCACTCCATCACTACCATCACAGTCCCCTACCACCACCTCCATCACCACCACCACTCGACCTCCACCACCACCACCATTACATCACTACCATGACAGTCCCTTATGACCACCACCACCACCACCGCCACCACCAGTCCATCACCACTCCCCACCTGTGCTCCGACATGGGGCTGAGCAGGAGGGGGGTAGAGGGGGCGCTGCCGTCCCCCCTGAAGAAGGTGTCCACGCCCCTGGTGATGTCCTCCTCCTGTAGGGCGGCGGCCAGCGCCCCCACAGGGCGCCGCGCCTGCCGGGTCTTGGGACGCCGTGGCCGCTGCTTCACCAGGTGCTTCAGCTGCTGCCCCACCCGGTGGGGGAGCTCCCCCACACTCCCCAGGCTCTCTGCTGCACCTGTGGGGGAAAGAGGGGTTAGGTGGAGTCCCCCCACACACAGCCACCCAGACCTGACTCCCTGCCTCACAGCCACCCAGACCTGACTCCCTGCCTCACAGCCACCCAGCCCTGCCTCCCTGCCTCACAGCCACTCAGACCTGCCTCACTACGCGGCTGAACATTTACACTCTCGGCACTCACTAAAACTAAAAGATGAACACGAGATGAATAAATGAATGATGACAAATAAAAGTGAATGATCTCTATCATAATAAGTACCTATTATTTACAGGGGAGAGTGATTGGGGGAGGTCCCCTTCTCGGTTGTGGGGATGGGTGCAGGAGTCAAAATGAGAGGGGAAGGGCAAATTCAAGGTGGGGAAGTTAGGGCTAAATGAAAGAGATAAATGAAAGAGATTAATAAGAGTATAGTCAAATGGGGTAAGACAGGATCGTAGCCTTCATGGGGTAAGAAAGGACCAGCCCATGGCATGCATTCTAATTGCACTGAATTTAATTTGACAAAAGAATATGTTAGAACAATCATTACCCTGTCTCTTATACACATCTAGATGTGTATAAGAGACAGCACTTCAGCCCCGAGATCACTATATTATGTTATGTTAGCGTGACGAATGAACTAATATTATTCCTTACTTTTTTAATTTTCCACGCATCAGCACATTGCACTTTCTTCTATTAATTTATCGTTATGTATTTGCTCCTGCAAAACACAACACTTACGCAGGTTGAGGAAGTGAAGATGGGCGGCTATAGGAAGAGTTGAGCAGCGCCCACGGGCTGAGGGGGATC